TATTCAATAAAATGTTTAGATAATGGAAGTTGAGCCATAAACCAAATTGCTTGAGGCAATAATAGTCATGCAGATATCGCAATTTCATTCATCATAGCTAGAAATTTGAAAGATACATGAGTTTTTTACCAAATAAGTTAATTCTATAACAATTTGTCTTGATCAAGCAAATCATTTTAACGACACGTTAATAAATAAGTCCTCATTAAGCTTAACATTACGACGTGTTCACTATAGTTGGCAATTCTACCTTCGTCCTGAAATTCTGTGCCAGTAATAATGTTTTGAGGACAAGTGATGGCTAACTGTGCAGGAAGGAAAGGCCTTTGCGAAATAAGACGCATTTAGTTTTCCGAATGACATGCTACAGACTCTATTCAAAGTGACCGCCAAGCACCCTAAGATGGGTGTGATGGTAGGCAGACCCAATTGTTAAAAAACAAAGCACACGAATGTCAATTTAAATACACATAGACACCAGAATCAGTCAGCTCAATACAATTAACTTAGAAGTGAAATTGAGCGGAAATGAGTTATTACAAAAATTAAAAAGAGGCTTTTAAAAAAATGAATTCAATTATAGTTGATTTGCAGTATTTCATTCTGTCTTCAAAACGAAGCCAAAAGCATTAATAAATGTAGCAAAAGAATACTTTTGTAATTAATTTGAGTTCAAATCAGATTAATTAAAGTTTATTGATTCTCTTCAAGAGCAAGTTTCATTTACTTCTTCCACCTACTTTGATCCCTGACAACGTGCCACTGAGGTCGTGAAATGCAGGTCAGAAATATATTTCAAGGAATGCAGAGTAGCGAAAAAACCACTAGTAAGAGCAAATGAGATTATACTAATGGAGACCATTAGTGTCAATCAGGTTGTAAATTAAAATACGAACCAGCATCCGAAGAAGAATTTCACATATTGCATTCTTCAGCGCACATTTGCGTGCAAAAATCAGGAAAAAAGTAGGGGTCGAAATACAAGCAATTCACTGTACAAATTAAAACCACTATAGTACATTGGTCTAAGGTGGGTACCTAAACGGAAGTAAAAAGGCCTTTGGAAAATTTGAAGACGGAACCACCTTCAAATGCTTCTCGACGTACAGTGCACACTCTTGAAATTTCGTAAGGTGTAAACTATTCTACTTTGTTTTACATTTCAGAATGAGTTTTATATGACCAAGTTACTAGTGGATTAAGACAAATGCTTTCACCTATGACGCACTTACATCTACACCGATAACTTTGGTGTTTCATTGTACTAAGAACCAGAATAAAGGCCGCGCCTTGACCCAATCGTCAATTTATACCTCAATGTGGATACATGCATTAATATCCTTTAAAAGACTCAATTAATAGATCTTGGGGACAGTTAGCCTGAATTGGTGAGCAAACGGAAGAGAAAAGCGATATCGACAGTAAGTTGAACGACGTTCTATATGGTTTCGTCAAAAGTAACTTCGAGGAAAAAAGCAGGAGCCAGACTGGATCGCTGCTGCGATGGTCACTTCCTCTATGCGTACTGTGAGTGAACAAAACCGTAAACACCATGAAAGCCACTTAGAAATCTCAGGACAAAAATGGCGAGCAGGCACCGGAAGTCTGCATTAACTGTACTTACACATTCTTGCAGAAACATTACCAAAAACTCAGCGTTGTTTCTAAGCTCATCATAAGATTTGGGTTACAGAGGGGAACTTGCAACTGCTAGCATTGCCACCTAGTTATTATGCAAGACGAAAGAAGCCAGCAAATATGGAAAATAGGGAAGGGAATTTGAGCAGTAGAATGGACCAGATTTTTAAGGTCGCATTACCTAAATTGTGTCATGATGATTGTACAGAAGAAACAAATCACAACTAATGATACTGCAAGGAGGAAAAAATAAAATGACAAAAAATGAAATGCTGGCCATGAATTTCAGTTCTCTCATTGTACAAGCAGCTGTTATCAGGAATTTATTCAGGATCACCAATGGGATCCCGAACGCGAAGAAATACCCTTACATCAATTATCATGATTTATTACTCTGTGGTAGCAAGCAAAAACGAAAACACAACAGCGGGATTTCTGCTCAAGACCTCCTATTGATACTTGGTATAAAATTGTAGACTCAGGAGCAAACCGAAAGAATGAAACGATCAAGACTGAAATGTGCAGGACATAAACCGATCGCGCCGTGAAAGAGACAGCGGAATAGCAATATGCTATAAATTGCAGTATTCTGTGAGGACTGATGGGGGGAAATCGCCTGTAACAATATCGTACCGTGAGTGGTAAAATGAAGACTGTTATTTATGACTGCACACGACTGAGCCTGTGTAGTTCCTAGAGAATCCCGCATTACAATAAGAATAAAATCTAGAACCTATTTTAAGTTCCAAATTTCAGTCAGGATTGCTTCACGGTACATGCGCCATGTACTTATTTATACTACTCAAAATATCTTAAGACGAGTATCAAATGACCGTAAAAAGGTAAAACAAAAAAATATGCAACTTGATGAGACACTAAATGAACGACGAAAGCCATTACCAACTCATTATGGAACAAATGAGAGGAGAGATAATGACGACCAACTTTTGTCCTGCAGACACATGGCTGGATCAATTATGTGCAGTTTTCCTACACACTCCCACATGTAAACTAGCAACTTCATGTTGGCTCAAAGTGGACCAAGAATAAATGTCACAGATGATAAATTAAAGCCAAACAAGGTAAAGGAAGAAAGCTTATCCAACTTAATGCGACAAAAAATTACAAATTAAATGTTGTTCAAGCAATCATAAAGTGTCGCTTCTGATGGATTTCTTAGAAGACGAAGGTCAATTTCAGCCGAATAGGTAAAATTTATCGCATCCAAAACTGTTGGCAAAAACGCCAACCTCGGACGCCACGCAAATGAATACTTGTTAATGAAATGCGGAAAATGTGACGCCGCTTCAGCGAACCTTGTAATTCAACTAAAATTTTTCTCAATTTTAGCCGGTTAAATGTTAAAGAACGAGAGATGTATTACCAAACAAAACATTTAATTGAATGTCGTCTAATTTTAAAATGACTGAGCAGAAGTCTACATCGTTTCAATCTATAAAGGCTTTGCTGCAATGTGCAATTAAAAATTCGTCTTACGCAAAACGATGTTAACAACAGGGCCATCAACCGTGTCACCGGTAGAGTATGATGGGTCTTGAGTATGTTGAAAAGAGAATTACCCGAAGCAGATAGGAATTATACAGATAAGCCCTGATTCCTGAGAAAGTCGATGGTAGTTGGATGTGCGTCTGGCGAACGAGCGAGCGCGAGCAATGGGTAAGGCTTGTAGGTGTCTCTAGTTTTTCGTTTTCTCGGTCTTTTATCCAAGCGACAAAAATATCAACAAAAACAGTGCATTAGAAAGTTGAGGGAAAAAATCGAGTACACTGTTCGACAGTAACTATATTTACCGGACACTTTACATGTAGGTGTTCTGATTACATGCAGACACTGCCTAAATGAGGTGAACAATCATGCGTGGCAATTATCAGGAGAAACAGATAAAACAGAACACGCTGCAGGAGCACGCGAACTTTTTGAAGACGTATGATTGCTTCAGATATTTTCCAGTAGTAAAGCTAGTGCACATTTCAAATTACAGTTCTTTTGTCTATCAATTTGGAAGCTATTCAGGCGTAATAACCTTTGGCTGAAATTCACGAGCGCTCACTCGCCTGTCAAGTGCGCGGTAAAATCGGCCTTCGATTCTCTCGGAAACCAAGGTCTATATGCATAAATTATGTCAGCCTGGTGCTTAGGAGACAAAATATTTGATTTAAGCCAACCAACTCTTCTGGGCCACAGGAAACACCGTAGGGTTGATTCAAGGCCCCCAACATTACAATATGCCACATATGAGCAGTAAAAAACTCTAATGCTCATGGGCATTTAATAAGTTGAGATAGAAACCATGTCCTGTCCTGTGTTGCTTGCCTTATTCTCAGGAAGCTCGTGCTGTTGACACAGAGTAGGCGCGTGTGTGCAGTTAAAAACCCCAATTTACATTCTTTGGGTGATTGCTACTGACCATTTACCACGAACTTAGTCATCGTTGTGAAACTGTAACATTATGATTTAGAAATCGCTATCTCGTATATTTACCGTCTCGGCTGAAGGAAAAACCAATTGAACTTAAGAATGCCCCCAAATATAATGTCTACATAAAATTCAATAAAGAAAAGACGTGGTTAAAAACAATTAGATTTTATCTAAAATGCACGGTTTAAAGTGGGTTGTTACTACTTGGCCAGAGGGAGGTCGAGGGGAGATGAGAAGGCAGGCGATGGTTTGTGGGTGCGCAAAGTGATGCAACCTATAACAACATAACAGATGACTATTAAGGACACATCGCAACTCGATTGCCTGTGATAAGTGAGGGCTCGCGTCTTATTGGTGGGCTGGATTCAATCACTGATGGATACCCTTACACAACCACCCAAAAGGCCGAGGCCAGAAGCATTTTACTCGCATTATTAAGGGGACTTGTGTTGCTTAAACCGGAAACAGAGCAATAAATAGTTGAGATGGGACGACAAATTATCCAGATCATGAAGTGGTGCATATGCACTATAATCGATTTCAAAGCGATGCTTCGCCTACATTATGCATTGCAAATAAAACTCTAACATCATGTTCCGTACGCAGCTGTCAGTATCGGGTAAAGCTACAATACTAAGATAATTTCCTTGTCCACTTTTGAGTAGCAGTGACTTGCCAAGTGTTTTGAGTCGTTTCTACTTTCTATAAAGTCAAAGCTTAGGTACCAATTGCTGGAATTACAATAGATGTCAAAATAAGAATTAGAGTTCCGGAAGCACATTGATAGGAAATATTAGAAGTGGTGCACAAGGCCGACTGAAAATTCCTAACTATGAAATGCAGCAGGCTTGATGAAACATCAATTAGCAGAAAGTTGAGCCAGAGGAATGGGCCGAACCGGCTCTTCTACGGGTTTTCAACAGCTATTTATTCCAAACAGAGCTCACGGGTAACCCTGGTGAGGAATTGGCCTGAATGGCTGCGGCCAGGGCGGCAATGGTCGCAGCCGGATTGGCCGCGGCGACAGCACTCGGCTGAGGCGAGGGCGCCTCCAAGAGCGCATTGCTGGGCGGAGGCTGCGGGCTCAGCAGCGAAGCGTTGGTGACGGCCGGGGGGTGTGCGGACAACAAAGGCGGCGGCGGTACACTGAAGTTGGCGGGGGGTGGCACAAGGAAGGGCGGTGGCTGTGTTGGGAAGATGACAGGAGCGTGAGTGGGTTTAGTGGTGGGGACTGAAGCCGGGGCAGCCTTCGGCTTGTGGCGGTGATCAATGTGAGCCTGGAGGTCCCGTTGACTCAGGTACGTGCGGCGACAGACCGTCCCTTCTGCGCATTGGAAGATACCACCGAGCATACAACGATCACATGAGGTGTAGGCCTTTTTGCACCTATAAGAGGTAAATAATAACAATAGTAACGAATTATCAATGTAGCTTCATTCGCACAAATATTTTGGCTTAGGAGCGTTTCCGCACATAGTTGTATTGGAAAACGAGAAACAGCCCAAGAAAAACAATTACATGGCATTACGAAAGTCCTTAACAAGGTCGTGTGGTTTCCGGGAGATAAATGCCCAATGATTAAATACATTGACATAGCATAAAAATGGAGTGTAAGCGTCGTGGGGAAAACGAAGCGCAGATAAAAATACTCAAAATTACTATCGTATCATCAATGAGTTCAGGTCCTAATAAAATTCGCCGTCTAAACGCATGTATCGGCGAAGATGTGCACTTGAACCAAATAGGCCCTTCTAACATGATTCATTTAGATGTCAAAAGTGACACGAGAGCATAAGCAGTTCGCAGAGATGGAAATTAGTCGGTGTGCCCTTCGCTAAACAAACGAGAGGCGACACCGACTACTTTTCTGCTGGCAGACAAGCTGGTCTCCGGTTAGCAGAACCGTGGATTCACAAGTTTTGACCACGTTAAACGCAAATGATAAGGCACTTTGCTAAATTTTGGTTTGGTTGCACGAAGTCCTAAATGCACTGGTGGCGAACTAAAGCACCCACCACGTGACAGGGGAATCTTTCAAGTTCACTGGAAACACATTTTGGAGTTAGATCAACTTTTGCTGGCTCGCTCCGCTTTGCATTCTTGGGTGGCTTTTCTGCACAAGACCCACCAAGCACAAGTGATAAATTGTCTGAAAAAGAAACAATGTTTTCAATTAATAACCAAATATCACAAAACATTTGGTATGATTTAATGACTAGTCCGTAGTCTCGAAAATACCTCAAGAGCGAAATGATACTTGTATGCCGTGCATTGCCAATTTCATGTCCCTGTTGCATAATTCGCACGTTGAAAAATAGACCTGAAGTTAACTTTTCTTAGAATTATTTCTGTACATTTAGCGAAGATTCGGAATATTTAGGCATCCTGGCACTTAGTACAAAGCACTTTCAGTCATAGCATAGTACCTACGTGACTTAACAGTAAGTCAGTAATACACGGCTTTCCGAAATTTAATGGTTATTTATTCCCAGAGATAGCTGACTGTTTAATTGTGGTGTCTGTGAAAAAGACCATTTTCGTCAGACAGACTAGCACCACTGGAGGACGACACTGAAGCAGACACAAAGAACTATCCCCGAATCGGGACAAACATTTACAAGGGAAGGAAGGAGGGTAGCACGTACACACGCACACACCAGAAAATCGCGGGCCGATGTGGAAAAAGACGCCGGATAGATGCATAAACAAACTGGGGTGACTCAGCCGAATCCGAGTCGTCCAGACACTCGACAAGAGGGTGTCTAAGACAAAGACATTCTCCAACGTTACAGGCGGCGATTACGAGTGAGACGTTTAATGCGATATGCTGCGTAAAATAATTCGCGAACAAGTCAATCACTGAAGACAGCCGTTAATGCAAAATTTGAGGTTATTTTGCGTGAAAGGATAAGACAAATCGACATGCCAGACAAGGGGATGGACTTGTGCGGAGATTCAGGCATATTCTCAAACCACCAACAGGACTTGGCATAGTCCGCCCTGGTAGGAAGTCTCGTGTTGAAGAATTTCTCTTAAATACTTGCATGTGGTACAGGATGGTATCACTATGCATTTATAACGGCTTCTTCCATAGGCAGTGAATGCAAGTCTATGATTTGGGAAATTAACATGACTCTAATTGCGCGTCGAAATCCAAATCTCGGATTTGCATTTATTACGTTGCAGTGGTTTTACAACTACATTACATGATAAAAGCGGGTAAATATGGAAGTGGGCACTAAATAAATGAAGTGCAGATTGAAAAATAAGGTCGATGTTGAAAACATTTAGCGGAACGTTGCACGCGTGCCTGTAACCACCACACACCTCCTGTAAGGGAAGTCCATACTCGCGAGCTTGGGGTCGGGCTTGGTGGACCAGGCCTGTGCGAAACAACTCACTTTAAGGCCTGAGAAAATCCATTCTTTCACCAAGATTAGGTCCAGGTGATGGTTGAGATGTATGCATTAAACACAATACTTGAATAAATGTACAATACAAACTAAACCAAATCAATTCCAAGCTTGTAGGAAGTTCGGAAATCAAAAGCATATCAAAGAAGGCACACTGTAAGATCAACGACTACAGAACATTATTTCGCATTCGGTCGAATGGTATACTTGGTGCTCGGCAAGACCATAATTCATTACCACACAGAAATCGATAAGAGTAAATTTAAAACGGACAAAATTATACAGTAGTGATCGCAACAGAAACTTAGACGTCCAAAACCATGATTTGACGGGTTCCGAGAAAAAGTCGAAAGATTTTTCATGGAGTGCCAACAAAAAATTCATGAACTGCAAGTATTCGAAATGGCGAAGCCTGCAACTTGCTCATTTAATCGGTCATGAATGGCTTTCTCAGTAAACCGCAACTGCATAGACCAGAACAAAATCTTAATTATAGTTAATTCGTACATCTGTATGATTTGTAGTTTTCTGACAATTGGAATCGAGTGGTTATTGAGAAAAAACATATAGACACTTTTATATTGGGACTCAAATCCATAATTATCATTACAGAATCCATTTTAGGTAACAGTTTCGCCCGTTTCATGTATGAAAAAATGATTTCACGATGGCTATACTTGAGGTGCCATCGCGGTTACGGCGAAACCCAAGCAAAGGCAATCCACAATATTCAGCGGCGATCAATACGGGCCGTCTTAAAACGGTTGGATGCCTATACCTCCTTCGTAAAAAATGTGGAAAGGCTGAAGCCAAAGAAAACAAGGTTGAATGTGCTTGTCATAGATAGTCACCCCGACAGCCACCAGTTCACAAATTTAGATACGCACGCTACTGAATTCCTTATAATTACACATTCAATATTGGCGACTTCTGATTAACGCGAAATACGCAGCGCACCTACGTACAAGTGTCCGTGAACATTGTAATAAAAATCCGCTTTGGTTAAAAACCGAACCTAATATTAGTAATATATACTTGCTTGAAGTTAGCTTCATCTTGCTCTATCTTCGAAGATCCGTTCACCGAGGTACTGCGGCTAATTATTTCCCAAAAGTGAACAGATTCAAATGGAAATTCCGAAATACATCGAATCGTGACCTCACCAAATAACTAATACATAATATATAATACATCACAAATTTCGAAGCCCTCCACAACAACGAAATTACTATCCAAATTTGTTTATGCCTCGAGTACGACCTGTCGGGAACACTGTACACCCATGGAAGACTAAGGGTTCAGAATACAAACAAAGAAAACTAGCACAAGAACACGTTAAAAGTTACGGATCGTGAAACGGATCTCGATTAAACTGAATGAACAAAGTGAAGAAAAGGTGAGAATCAATGTACGGGCAATTAAGAAACGCAGCCAGAGGTGAGAATCGAATCACCCAGGACAGTGGAAATTGGTAGGGAATGTGGTACATCGTAGTGTACACTCAGAGCATTAAAGTCATTTGTACATGGTCAGAAGATTCTGGCGACAATGTAGTATGTCGACAACTACTCATTCTTCATGCCAGGACAAGAGCTGAATTCGGTAGCATATTGCCGTCGAACCATTACGTGCCTAGAGTGACTCTGAAGTAAACAAGACACAAAATACCCGTTGTTACGACACTGCACGATCCCATCTAGTTCAAACAAAACGTAAAAGCCGACCAACTTAGGCAAAGGTGTGTTTCCGAATCCTCAGATACCATTCCTTGTTCCCAACTGACCACCACTCACAGTAGAAATTGGAAACTCATGTATGAAAAATCACATCTTTCATAATGAAGTCAAATAACCTGTATGGGCTTCATATTCAACTATAGAGAGCTGTTGCTAAAAAAATCACTTTATTGCCAATTTTGACAAAAGTGCATAAAAGCAGTGCATACTTAAATTTTGGAATGTCTATTAAAATGTAAAAAGCGCTTAAACATGGTTAACTCTCTGACACGGTTGAAGTAGTTTGCCAATATGAATGTGAAAGCGAAATTAGTCAACAGAAACTCCTAACCTATTTGCACACGGACGAATGCCAACGGCAGCACGTGCGCCAGAAAGACCCATCGCGGCCTGTTTGTTCGCCTCGACACAATCATTGGCATCTGTGGTATCGTGTGCATATGTAGGAGCGATTCCCACCTTCGCCACACAACTTAGAGTGCGTGGAGAGGTGGTAACGTCCGCACCATGACTTCAAGCTAAGTAAGTTGCCTTATCGTCAAAAAAGGAAGCATGGCTGCGGTGGAATCGCAATTCCGATTGCGAATCTTATCGCATATTCATTTGAACAATCAAACAATTCCAAATCAGACCAATTTATCTGTGCAGACTAGCAAGTGCATTTAAATCTACAGTTTGGAAAAACAGTTGCTTATAGAGAAAGCATCTGCTTAAGAGACAACTACAAAAAAAATTCCCTCCTTTCAAGTGTAGATCTCTACAGTGGTGTTTCTGGACAAGCAGTAAGAGCTTTATGATACCAAAGAAGTACACATTTATAATTATTCCAAGGAGTACATTGAAAAGATGCGTGACTTCTCCAAGATGCCCCTGGTCGTAACACCAAACATGAAAGCAGTATTTGTGAAGGCGCCATCGATATATTTAATGTGTGGTAATAAAAATTCCTCAGCTTCAAAGCGGTGGAAACTGCAATGACCATGGGTAGCTATAAACTAGCTGGGGGCACCTAGTCTCTTGCTTCTTAATTAATGTCATTTAAATTTCCCTAAAATTGCCCACATAAAATCAGAACCTCATCGAAAACGTTACTTCATGCGCGCAGCGTCACTGTGAAAAGCGGGCATCGTGCAGATCAACAAAGCAGGTATTTCAACAATTTTTCGCACTGAGAAATACAAGTCAGGTAGCCACGTGGATCATTGCTAGACCCATTCCGCAGTTCACTCACAAGACAACAAGCATTTGAGAACAAAAACAAGGACGAAAGTACCTACCTGTGACAGGTGCCGGGTAGGGTAGAGGCGCAGGTGAAGCAAAACACGTGGTTGCAGGGCTTCTAAATAGGTGACAATGAAAGTGAAGGATAAATTTAGGTCTACAGATCCTTTGTGGCTTAAAGTAACAACGCAGAGGTATTAGAGCTACCATAAAAACCAAAGGTAAACCTTGGGACAAAAACCTTACAACAACTGCTGGAAAGGTAAGCAATGTGAAGGCAATGCATATCTCAACTACCAGCCTCCAAGGTAAAGCACCAATTGCGCAGTTTTTTTGTCCTGTCCCCACTCTACACAAAGACTTTATGATGCAGACGAGCAAATTAAGATCAAGTTAGGTAAATGGGGGAAACAAAGTACTTCCCACAACATTAAGCAACATGTGGTTTACAGGAACGTAAACAAGAACATTAAAGCAGAATTTCAGCAATACCAAATAAAAAAACAAGGTAGCAAGATTAAGCACTTACCAAACGACCATAAACGATGATAGGCTTATCACAGATGTCACAAATATGGAAAGTAAGATCCTTTGGCTTTTCACCGACAATCCATACCTGAAAAATAACACCTATTGCAGACTGATTGTGGACTAATATAAACCAGGCACGCTATATGTGCTTTAAAAGTAAACCGAGGTATCTAGTTCGGCAAATTCACAAAGGAAATACAGTGGACGAACGCAGCACAACGGCACTGTTGAGAATCAAACGAAGGAAAGAAAAAAAAGAGCTTATCTCGCTTAATAAACACAAAGTTTTATTTGACTCCAGGTAGATAAAGAAATCATTAGCGATTCTGTTGAGACCAAAACTGAAACTCGTGGGTTCGTCAATTAATGAAGGGGTCAGTGTAAATCTACAGTTTTTCAGAAACTGCGGAAAATATTGGAATGAAGTTGACGAATGTGAATATATATAGATGTGGCAGAAGAGATTATGGAATTCATGATCTCAAAACACAAGGGTTTACTATGGCAAGTAGGTTTGGGATTTAGCTTACGTTATTTTCCCATCGATGCCGTTTTGATCTATCTCTAGGATCTTTGTCATGACGCCTTGAACTCCCGTTTAAGGATGTTGATCGACTACGAGTGTGAGACCTCGACCTTGAGAAAGAACTACGTGAACTTGAACACGAGGACGAGCGTGAATCGCTTGTGCTGACAGAGCGACTCCCACTTCGACTTTTGAGCCTTCGCCTTTGACGGCGATGCCTTCGTTCGTGATAGCTTTCCGTTGACCTTGAGCGACTGCGGCCGTAGGACGGCGAAGAACTGCGACTGTGACTACGTGAGTAACTGCGTCGATGAGAGCGAGTTGCATCGGATTCCCGCCTACTTTCATCAACCCCACTATTTGGCGACTTACTTGGCTCAAATTTGCCTAAATAGTAATTATTGGGGTAAATAATCAAAAGCACATGGAGATAAAAAACTTACATTATAATTAACGAGTGGATGTGCTGCCATACATTTAATTTAGGGCAACATTGAACCTGTAGGCTGTCTGAAACTAGGCGGCCGTAAATTTAAACATATGGTTACTAGAAAACGAGAATCAGGTATATCGGACAAGGAAATCATGCATTTTGTACCAGAAGACAGCCAGTGAATTTAAGATGCAGATTTGGTTTACGAAGACGCGAAAAATTAAGCATAAACCATTATTAATTAACATTTCTAGAAATAGAGACTTAAGGAACAGATAAACAAGGCACGGCTGTACTTCGTAAATGAGAAGGTGGCACACTATTTTTAAATTGCCATTGATGAAGCAAACTGTATTACATTTTAGGAAACTCCTTCATTAAAACTTACAAAAAACCTCAAACATAATTATCCTCGATAAATAAGTTAAGTGTTACGTCGAATTCAAAGGAGGCAAGTTCCAGTTAAAATAATATTCTAGCAACAAAGCTGAAAAATTCACTTAGCGTTGTAGGAGTAACGAATCTTTTTACAGATTTATTCACGCTAGTGTTCCTAGTGTCTTTGATAACATAAACTCAACAAGAAAACCACAAGGCATCGTAAGGTATTTAAAACCATCAAATTGAAGCTGTAAATGATGTGGAACAGTAGAGTTGTAAAAAAGGGCTTATGTCGTGAAAATTTTAAAATCCCGAAAACGGAATAAATCGTGCATTGGTACGAATGCCAATAGGAAAGCAAATACGAATGAAGTGAATGCTTTCTTTAAGGACACGGGGCAGATTTCAGAAAGGGTCACTCAGAGTTAATCAGGCCCAAGTGATTAAGCTAATACAAAAAGAAAAGCCCGACTTCATGAAACCAGAATGGTTTCCTAATTAAATCCGCCAGCGTCTACCGCACATTCATGAGGTATTACATGAACTGTAAAAGGCACGATCACTATATACGTTATTTGTTATTAGTTGAGGGACACTTCATAACGCGAAGTAAAAAAAACGACTGGCAGTGGAAAGTATTTCGACTCGCTACATATTAACATGACGTATTGTACATACAGTAAACAGAATAAATATGAAATCATCAAAAACAAAAGAACAGAATCCGTAGAAAGGCAACAATATGAGTTTCACGTAAAAACTCGTAGCCGGCTATTAGTTACGAGCCAAAGATGATGCAACAAAAATTAACTTCAGACAAAAAATAACTTCAGAATTCATAGCGATGAAGACACTGATAGTGAAAACTAGAGGAAGCAAAACAGTCAACAACAAAAAATCATTGCAAACGCTTCAAAAAATGTGCATTTTCGAATGCAATTTAAATCACAGCTATGTGTGCAAAAACTACGCAACAAAGAACTTACTGTAAGTTCCCACATCGCCATCCCCCATTTCAAAAACATACAAAATCACGCATTCAACTAATACACTATTGCACAGATATAACTAAAACAAAATTAAGGGCAGAGAAACATTTTCAGTCATAACGTCAGGGTTTCGCAAAAAGCATTATTTTTTAGTAATAATTGTTCGAAGCTTATTTCCACGATCTAGATTAAGAAGCGTTCCACTTAGGTAATTTTAGTTATTTTGTGTTTTTTAAGAACCGCTGAACTCGAAACTATACCTTATATTTTCACGATCTTTTGGCTCGGCGCGAAAGCATTTACCTACTTAGAGGCCAATGACGGATTACCTTTATTGGTGCTACGTGTTTATGATGATAAACAAGCAGAGACCTGCTCAAAATTTCAATTAAAGTGGACTTAAAATGCTACAACATGTTAGAAATGTTATCTACAACCTCGAAATTGATCACAACCACCCACCGAAATATAATACGACAACAAAACTTTGTGATTTCCGTCCCTGTTAGGTGACACCATAGAAAATGCTGACAGCATTTTTTTACTTATGTGTAATTTATATTTCACTACATTATGCTCTTTGAAAACAGACAAGGATATAATATCCTGAATGTTTTGTTCGCGTTCCTCCAGGTATGTTTTATTTTAGCTCGGTGAAAACGTTAACAGAAGTAGCGAAATCTCGCTACAGCTTTTATAAAAAAAATCTTTCCTAACTTTACGCGCGGGGACCGCCACCGACCCTTTAGTTTCAGCATCTTCCTTTGAAAAAAAAAACGAAATTTCACAATTACTGCGCCTGATTTGTCATTAAAAAATGTACGTGCAGTAGTTATTTTAAATTTGGCATCCGCCATTTTATTCTGGCCAGGAAACACCTTCGGAAATGATCTACACATTTTACTTTCCAGATTAAAATAACCATGATAGGTTGTGGAATTATCTGAGATTTTTCAAAACAATTAAACACAGCTACCATTTTTGTGAAGAATCGTCCTACGGGTAAAATGGGTTTCGTCAGACCTAAATTAGATGATTTTGGAGTTGCCCCTGTGTGCTGATGAATAGGCATTACAAAAAACCCAAACTCTGCTTTCCCCAAATAAGTTGGTCGAGGACCTCATTTAAACACTGAATTACAAGCATTTAGAAAGTCACAAAATTTTAGACATACTAAACAACCTTTTTATGAACGCAAAGTACCCCCACCCTGGGTTAAGCGAAATCGTGCTGACATCTTACTTTCAAGGTATGTTTGTGGTCTGACGAAACGCGAGGTCGACTGAAATTACCTTTGAAATTGCACTCCAAATAAGCCAAGTGAAATAAGCATAATTTATATACAAGTTAGAAGAAGTCATCAACTGTTCACCATTGACGTGGCCACCGTAGGTTTTAATTCTTCTTCGTTAGCTCCGGCCAATTCATCGACTGACGTGGGAAGGTTCGAAGAAGTGAGGTTACACACTCCTCTATCGATTTCCATCGAGGATTGTTCTTGAGGAGGCTCACCGATTTCGGAAACAAATTCCTGTTCGTCCGTTGCCGGCTTCTCAGTTGACTGATGTTGACGAAGCTGCTGTGCTTGTTCCATTTCGAGCCGCCTACGCATCATATCCTCCTGCAGAATTTTGTCTAGACGAGCAACGCGCCTTTCGCGGACAGGTCGAGTAAAACCACCTAGCGGGCGTCGCTGCGCAGCAACCAGCGCCGCAGTCTCGACGACAGACGGCTCAGTGTCAAAGTCGAATTCAGCAAAGTTGAGCTGGTTATCGCGGTTCCCAGTTGTGTTTAATCCTTTTTCTTGGGAGAGTTTGAGAGTTAGAGTCTCATCATTCCTAGTTTCTTGCTCTAAAAATATCGAGCAACAACTTGTTTGACTTTAACATATCCCCTTGTATAAAATTTCAACTTTCTAACAAGAAGTAACGCTCAGGAAATCAAAGCATTCAAGATTTTAGCCAAAAAAATGTCTGTCATTAAAAAACATATCAGGTGGAAAAATTTACTACTGCCTGTTTTGCAGATTGTTGAGGGATGAAGAGCTGACAAGCCGTTACCCCACCCTATCCAGGTAATACATGGTGGGAAAAATTTATATGCTTTACAGGAGCAGCCATTTTAAGACCAAAGGAAGCCAAATTGATTAATTATAGGAAGAACTAAGACGCGATTAAATAATTGGTTTCGTCGTCCAATATATCTAAAAACATTGCATACATCAAATTCACTACAAGAGCCTAGTGGAAACCAGAAGAACGCAGCACCATTAATAAGTTGACTGATGATTAGAAAAAGTGCGTTCTACAAAAATCAGAAGCATTGGCAATGGTACACAAAAGCCCCTACTTTGGGCACAGAATCAGAAGTTTACGAAAATGTACCCCTTCAATTTATGTACGCAATTTGTTTTGACATGCAGTTTGTAAGTCTGCCTTAAAATTTCATTTTAATAAAAAAACTCAAGCATTTCTTGGTGTTATTTTTAATTCCGAAGCCACGTACTCCAATGCATTTCAAAATTTGGTGTTACAAACGATAGAGCCACTAGCCACCCAACGCTGTTTGTCGAAATCTCAAAATACCTGACCCTCCCTCGTCGAAAGGGCACACTTAAAGGGTTATAGAGTCCATTCATTTAAGGACGCTTAATCTAGACAATGGCATATTTTAGGAAACATTTAGAGAACTAAAAGAACAGCTAAATGACAAACAAAGATAATAAACATAAATGCATGTGAAGATGTGTCTCAGGGAGACTTTGGCGATTAACTACAACAGACTCTGAGTGCGGCCGAACGCTAACATGGCGATGTGCAACCGCTGCCTGTTTGTAGCACGAGCATGAAGTTTCCTTCAAAAGCTAAAGAAGGCTAATTCTAATCAGATCAATTTAGCTGTACCGTTAATATATCAAAGACAACTAGAAAAAAAAAACGAATCTTCTTTATGGAAAACGCCCACTAAGTATTTAACAATACAGTTAAATTAATGAAAGTTAAATAGTATTAAAATAAAACTGCCGAAAAAATTTAGTTCATTCAGTTACTCATAATTGAAATGAACCTTTGCTTTCATGAATTCTGGCTCAAACAGAATATTATCTTGCTGGACCAAAAATTATTTAGTTTGACGAAGTGGCCAGGCTGATACGATGATTATTTGACGAAAATCATCCATCCAAATCCTGCAGTGTCGCACCCTTAACTTCTCATATATTCACCCATACATTGCACACTTAAAAATTAAAAGAAAAATCAAGAGAGGAACTGTTACCTTGGGGAGTTGCGCGCTTAATTCGTCCGGGGAATTTCCACTCCAGTTGAATAGGCCTGTTTTGCGCTATATCTTCATAGAATGGAAGCAGGTCAGACAATGAAAGACCATTAGGATATTTGATCGCAAACTCCGAGTTTGGGTCGGAAATGGAAGCAGCAGCTGTCTCCTCCATCTTCATTAACGTTAAATAAAAATGGTAATTTAGAGTGATATATCCAAATGACAGTAGTGTTTTATGGAAATACGATATTATTAAAGAAGAAATCAACATGAAGTTTGGACCATCACGAAATCAAATCAATTTTTACAAATGAAAATCCATAGCAGAAACAGATTCCTCGTTTGTTACAAGCTAATCGAGTAGCCACCAGAATCAAAACTCGTGTATAAGACCTCCACCAAAAAAGAACTATCCGGTCTGACTTCACCCATTCTAATATGGCGTTGTGGGCGTAAATGACAAAAAAATCCCAAAACCTACGCACCACTTTGCCCAAAGAGTAAGTGCGATTACGAGCAAATTAAAAAAAAGGATATTTGAAACAGAAAATCCGGCTGCTTTACTGGGCCATGCCAGTCACCATCTAACTGGCAAATGCATAAAGTATGGAAACATGAATTTTATCGAACAAAAAAGGAAGCCAAGCATCAAAAATCCAAGTTTAATTAGATATAGTCAAATAAAATAACAAGTGAGATTTCTGTAAAAAGATTCATCAGGAGGTTACTGAGCAAACGCTAGACAAATGGCATCCAGGAACTTTCATCTGCGGGACGTAGGTCTCCACGAACTAGAAGAATGATGTCGACTATCCACCAGATACCGCATCCACCAACGGTCAAAAGCTTTCCAACGCCTGTTCCCAGATGACCCAAACAATATCGATCGACACCCAAGAACCCTAGGAAAATGCTATAAAGTAAGGTAGTGGGGAAATAATAACCGTGATAACGTAGGCATGGGTAGTTGGGCAAAAAGAAGGTGCGATTTCCATAGCATTCTATTCCTGGCAGAGCATGGCATTTAAGTGTTGTCAGCTGAACATCGCCAGGATAAACGCCACCCCACTTGAAGCAGCCATGACCGCCAAACTTATCGAAATTTGTCCGGTTGCCTTGAAGATCTGCAGATGGAAAATATGGTTCAACATCTAGGGGGATTTGGCGCATACAACTTTTTTGTTCATTTCAAAAAAGAAGACATTACAATTAAGAATCAACGACCTAGATAGTGAATACAACATAAGTTCAACAAACAAAATGTTGCGGTGCAACGAGATAGTGGCATGATTACGGGTCTTTTTAAAAAAAAAGTTTTACGATTTTCATGGTTTTTGAGTTTTTGGGCATACGACCCTATACCTTTGATCAAAGCACAAATTACATGCATATATGAACCTACATCGAATGATTAAGGCATAAACTGAAACTCAGCTAATGAACATATTAGTCCTACTAATCAATAAGCGGTTCGCTTAATGTTTTCAAGATACATTGAACTTGCAAAATTAAGGAACTACTTTAGTAAGCAGTCAAGGTAATATTTTGCTGCTTTATTACTTTAAAGACTACTAACCATCGAACTATTGTTTATATTTCAAGGTGTACTGCCATTTTTAAACTAGATACTGCTGACTCCCATGTTGCAAAATTCAACCAAAAAGTTAACAATATGCGCACTAACCACATATCATGCCCGAATGTTTTATATATTGAAGACAAGTTATGAACACAACTTGAATTTGTGGGCTAACGGATACTTGCAGATGGAAACTAAAGTTAACACATTAAAAATTGTAGTTTAAGTATTGTAAAAACAAAAAGCGAATTCATTTGTCAGATTTTCAAACGTAATATAAACGACGACTAAGTCAGGGAGCCACTCGGACTGTAAATGAATGAGTCGTAAAGTTTATCATACCCGCAGGTGGTTCGCACCAAAAAGAGTGCCTCGGAAGGAATGAGCAGCGAACCAGAGCGGAATAGGGGTCATAAGGATCAGGGACGAAATCTTCTTCGGTGGCATTTGGGAAGCCATAACTCAACAAAGCCACGTCAAACATATATCCAAGGGCCAATGATGGTAAAAACCCCAAGAATGTAAATCCAAAGGTCAGCAAGATTTGAAGAATCTAAAAGGACAAACTAAGTTTTTGAAATTTTGACAACTAGAGACTAATTACAGAGACGAAATTTAGGAATGTACAAAATAAAATACACCCGAGACTTGTTGATCCAAATCCACAGATTGAGGAGTCCGAGAAAATTCGCCGGGCCAATTTAGTGAGGAAACAAACAGCATTTAGAAAAAATAAAAAACAAACCATATTGAACATACTTATTCAGCTCAAAACGTAATGAAAAACAACATATAAAGATTCAGAACGTAGGCTACCGACAAAAATTACGGGAAAAATAGCAAAAAAATAAGGCAAAAAGCCACAATAATCCGGCAAATTTAAAAACTCTCTGCCCTGTACGTTGACAACGTTAACCTCGATTACATTAACTTCGCAGAAACAGTCCCACTAAATACTGATAAAATGAAAAAAAGCTCACAAAAGAATCAGCAAAGCACAACATTATAGAAAACAATTACTTTCACATTGTATTTGCAATAAACGTAGATTTAAAAAATACTAGGAACACAAATCCCATGTTTAAACTCAACCGGCATGTAACATCACCGCTTAAAAGTTATTAAAAAAGAAAGGAGAAGCACAAGAAATGGAGCACACTAACACAAATCACCCGCAGTTTTACATTCTTGAATCAAGCTCGAGCGGACACATTTTCACCTTCTTTCATACCGGTAAAAAAACGGATTATTGTCGAATTTTTGTTTTAGTATTACAGAAATTGCTTCAAGGGTAACATTACATTGAACGGACTATTCACTGAAACCTTGTGACATCTGCATTAGATCGTAAAGGGAAAATTACCCCTTACCAACGACAGCCGGCTTCAAATGACTACCTTGGAAAATTTCTTAATAATAAAACCTCTTCAATTGGCTATTATTCTGATGTTGCTCCAAATTATACGTAATTATTATTCATGGCTTCCATGCACTTGTTTAAATGCTACAAATCTTTACAATAAGAAAGTCTTCCTCATTCAAGCTACAATTTAATTTAAAGCAACAAATTTTAGAGAAGTTTAAGTGTCAGGAATTTTGTCATTGTAAACGTTTAATTAACTTCTTGACAATGAAGACTTAACTGCTCCAATCCTTCAAATGATATTGCTAAAAATATTTATTTAGTCCATAATAGCTAAGTTGACAGTTTTTGATCAACGATTGTGTTTGAACACAAAAACGGTTGACATAAAATTGTATTTAACTTCCATAACCTACAAAGTTTTAATTTGCTTCACACACATGCAACTAAAATGTCTTTTAAAGCATGCGTTTACCATCCTAGCATTTCGACCTTAAAAAGGGGCAAGAATCTGCGAAAAGAAGCATCGAATGCAATTGGAATGAGAGGTAATTAGCAATTATAATGAGCAAACAAATCAAGAAGCGATGTAGAAGAAACGCAATAGACCTGAATATACAGACCCGAGGTGTTTAAGAGAGCACTTTTTTTACGGAGGCGGTGCACCTAGTTTCGTTTGCCGTAATTACTTATGCAAAAGATTATTAACTGCGCCTAGTTGCGTGTTAATATCCCAGCAGCTAAAACAATGGTTATTATTTAAGCAAATTAAGATCAACATAATTGGGCAGGTTTGTGAGTTAACAGACCAGATTCCAATAGCAGTTTTACAAAAGATGGAATCATATTACTTTTACACAAATTCTAGTCAGATGAAGAGTTTATTTGGCGGGTGCTGCAATATAAAAATTTGTTAAAGTCTAAAACCCCATCTTGATGCTACCAACTGGAAAATTAAATTATATTTGAAACCATATTTTATCAAAACTGCACTTTCACTACATAAGGAGAATTCGTGAAGATGCTTCTATAGCCTTTTGCGAGTGAGAACCTTTGTGATTGGAAACACGGCACCTTCATTTTAACGATTTTTTAATGCAATTAACTGTAATGTGCGAATAAGCGCAATCAGTACGTGTACTTAATCTGCGCGTTGTGTTATGTTATGTTTAAAATCCTTATTTGCGTACATCACTAAAAAAGAGGACTTTGCTATTGTGATTTACTCAAGCCCTGATATGGAGTGGAGAAGTGAAACACAGAAGACTTTGTTGACCGATCATACTTCAGAACCTTCTGTTAGAAGCCACTCATCCAAATCCACCATAGCGGCTCTGTCACAAGCTATATATTGCTTATATTTCATACTTGTTTCCTGTTTTCTGCTGATTCTCAAAGTACGCCATTTAAACGCACAAGGCGGTATAATCAGCTGGATTTGGTGTGAGCCAATACGTTTGGCCCTTGAAAAGTATTACAAGCGGATTGGGTGAAATCAAGGTATTTTGCGGTGACTTCTGCTAGGCTTGATTTTGAATTCCACTGGTTGGTGGGTTTTGTTTTCCTCATTCTAACCTTCTTCTATCTTTCGTAAAGGGCCCTGTAGTGAGGCCTATGACAGGAAATCTCGTCACATTCTGTGATGACATACTCCGTGTCAACCTCAGAAGGGGCTTTGGACATGTGAGTAGGCCCCTGTCGAGTGTTCGGCTTCGTCGGGCTCGTATAAATGCCCTTAATGTGTTTTTCAGTTACCTTCGTGGCCCTCATAAGTACTTTTTTTATTTATTATACTTACATATTTAGGTTTGTGAAAGGAACGCTGCCACAACCTTCTGGAGACTACAGAAAACTTTTATTGAACGCTGCCATGGAATACCTGTGCAGTGACGGTCTACAAAATAGGAGGCTACTGTTTATAGAACTGCTTCAAAAAATAGACCTAGGTATTCGGTTGTAGAAATTATTTTGGCTAGTTTGCTTTGATAGTCGTGATGTCTGCGTCATTTTTCTCCTGTGTCTTATGCGTCCTGAAGTATGTTATTATCTTATATTGCATATAGTTAATTATCTTCATGTAACCAAGTTTCTGTTTAGCTCGCTAGTGCCCGAAATCTTGTTCCAACTTCTTCGTCAAGCCTATGGGAAATTACAAGCCTTGATACAAGGCCGTATATCAATGGCGATAACCCACATCCAAAATTCAGTTCCTGGGTAAAAGTCTGCTTTTATTCACAGATATAGGTATACAAAAGCGGTTTTCAGCATTCATCGTTTTTGCAACTTCCAAGGCTCTGTAAATATTTGGATGCCATTAAGTCGTTTAGCCAATCTTTATACCAGCAGGACGATGGATATTCATTGTTTATACCTGTGGCGTACTTGACCAACCCGTATAGAAGGTGAGTTCCTTAGACAAATTTTTCTTTCATTCATGGTTTTGGTTTATCTGTCTATTATCATATTCTATCTGCATTTATTTCATTTTAGATTTTGCAGCAGTGAGACAAATTTGTCGGCAATTGTAGGTTTTAATTTTTAAATTCCCTCCTTTGGGTTACACGTCATTTGTATGTTTTCTGTTTACTGGTAATGGTAATGGTTTATTAGCCATATAATTTAAACCTGGTGGATTGTAAAACACTGGTCGCTATAAAACTGCTCATTGTTACCTTCCACAATTCTGATTCATTTCACCAGTCGCAAATTGCTAATCTTTTGGTGTTTTTTGAGCATGACAACTCTTAATAATCGACGGTTATGTCGAACAAGTCAGTGGAATAGTTTCCTTCACTTCCTCTATGCATTGTGGACACTTCTTGTACAATTGCATAAAACGTCAGCGAAATAAGTTTTCAATAATTCCCATCGATATTATTTGAACAGTGTTCTGACACAACGAACAATTCCCATCTGAGCATAATGGAGAACAATTTTCAATCAATCCTGGCAGATATTCCACACCTGCGTTTTGTTCTTCAAAATAAAACCGAATTCCTTACTTCGAGAGAGAAAGCCACTTCCAAAAAAAATCCATCACCGGTTTGTACGTGGGAAGAAAGAAAGAGGTAAGTTGCTGTTTGTCGAGGTATGGTATATAATACAAAGTCGTGTGCTCAAATAATCTGCATGAATGCTTTCCATATTTAGTCTTACGTTTTATGGCTGAATTATTCAAATTCTACGCCTTCCTTTTTCCTAGACAGATATTTTCAGCAAAAACTCCAATCGCACAAGTTGCTTAATTTTTCTCAAATATTATATAATTTTTTGACATGCACCATTTCTCACACAGTCATCAAAGTCTTCAATAGGTTAAAAGAAACGTAAATCTATTCAATAAATTCTGGCACCCTAAATGTCGTATTCTCAATTTCATTAAGTTAATTTGCTGTCCCTATTCGCTTTTTTGGAGTGTTTTATGCCTCAAATGTGGTCATAATTTGTTCCCTATCAAGCGAGATCATAAATTCTACCTCCTCAAGTGTGATAAAGCTAAACATGGGTAACGATTGGATTTTTCCAATTCGGCTAAACGGATATCAGCGGTGTTGAGGATATTAAAGAAAATAATGTTGTTGCTAGTTAGTGTATTCGTAATCTAGTCAATGAGATGTATCGTCAGTTTATAAATGATTTGTAATGGACACAGTCCTTATCACTTCAGTGTTATTAGTTCCCAGTTGTGTCTTCTCTCACCTGCTACATTAGTCCTACGTACTAAACTTAGTTTGTCGCGCACCTCAAACTTCCTTTGCTATTTTGTGGGAAGACCTCGACTGTAATTCCGCTACCATCTTTAGCACTGCTGTCCACGAAAAATCATACCTTACTGAATCGGGTCCGTTTTCAATTCATGCGCTTTGGTGTGCCTTAAAATCTCGCCTTCGGTTGAGTTCAACTCAGCAGATTCAATGTGAGACCTCACACTCCACGATTCCCCTGAGTTCCCTGACATCAGCGAAATTAGCCAATTTGCGTGAAGGCTTCATACATGACCTCCTTCTGGCTCACGTGGGCATCGTCTCCCATCGATTTTCTTGGTATCAAGAAAGTGAAAAACCTCTTCTTTCGGGGTTCTTTGTCTGGAATGGAAACCCCTTGGACGCAGTGGCCTTTCATGTAACGCAAGGCGCGCTCTCTTCTTACCTGAAGCCTCATTTACGTTCGGCCACCTCTTTCCGTCGGCTGGATTGGTTGACGTCTGGGTCGTTGCTACCTGACGCCACTAAGCATCGTGGGAACGTGTGGTTAGCGTTATTGCACGGGATTAGCGAATGGCTGCGCATCTACACAATCACCTTAGAGAATTTGCGCACGAGTCAGATGGTTGCCATAGGTCCAGAGAAAAATGACTTGCTTGCGCTTACTCACCTCCTGAGGCCTGTAATGACTAACATGTTGTAAGTTACGCCTGGATTGTTATTTCTGTTCTTTTAACATTTTATTCAGTATAATTTCTGTTATCTGTACATTCCACCACCACTGACTTCCGCTATTCGCGCATCCACAAGTGTCTACTTTGACAAAAGAGCCAAACTGCGTCTGTGGTTATCTCGGTTTATTCCTAAGTTATTAGACTGTGTGAGTAATGCATAACTATGGAACTAGTTAGTTGGAGGCTAATTTATTCGTAGAAGTAATGGTATCCGCCACTACGATGTGTGAAATGTAAGAGGAATCGGTGTGAGCACTGACAATTGTATTTGCAACAGTAAAGTTGGCAGGACCATCGCTTTCTCGAAATGTCAGTTGCAGTATGACCTCCCGTTTCCACGGATCAGCTAGCTGGTGAAATTCAAAGGGCCTTTTATTTGCGGTGTGTTGTTGACCGTTTAATTAAAGCACCGTTATCACCAGTCAGGCGTACGGGTTAATAATAAGGATATACCCAGCACTCATGATTAGACTTCGGTCACGTCAATGCTGAAATATTTGGTGTTTCTAAAACTACAGCTGTCTTCGAGGTTGAATCTTCAACGACAAATTACTTTGACGTCGGAAATACTAATAGCATTTTGCTTTAAATAAAACTAATTCTTGGACATCGTTGAACACCTCACTTCTCAGCTACGTAGTTTTGACATCTTGTGCATGTTTTGGACGAGGACCAGAGTTTAAATATTTCTGTCTACCTCTAACAGTTTAGTTGCCCGTTTGTGCGGGGTGCTGGCTGACGACACTGTTCTGCTGCCGAGGGCTCCGGCCATCCTTTCACTCTCAGGTATCCACCTCCTTGCTTGGCTTGCGCATCAGGCAGCTGACACATCTTCCGTCTGTAATAGTAGCTACGTTGTCCGATTTATCTTCCATCGCGCTTGTGCCCCATTCTTGCGGTACGTTCTCCTATGATTCCAACTTATTGCCAACATTACGTAACTGACGTTATTGGTAACACAAGGTCCACCCTTTTCTGTGTTCTAGGCGTAGTAGCAGTCAACACCTCACTTAGACTTTTGGGAGTATTTAATATGGATACGCTACCACTATGTGAAGTTCGCTATGAAAAATCTTCAATTTTCTCAAAAACGAACGGACTTGCTTTTTCGGAACTGATGATTTTTAAAAAGTCGTCAGTCATTATCCTGTGCTTGTTTGCTCGGTGCGGCACTAAACTCCCTCTTCAACTATTCAAATTGTGTCGGCTTTCAGAGGTGATTAGTCAAACACTGAGCCCTCATCGGAATAGGTTTTACCGCCTCAACAATTGACATCAGTTTTGGCATCTACTCAAAATAGATCAGATTGACGCCCAGAAGGACCCTCGTGTGTACTCAACCGATTTTTCCAGTGTTTGACACTGGATGTCTATCAGGTCTTGACCAGTTTTTGGGTTTCTCTTGTAGGTTTCTTTATATGTGGGTGCAAGACGGCACTCACGAGGATCCATTTCACGAATTTGGTATCGTTGTCAACAATCGCTTTATCTTTAGAAAAGGTACGTGCACACAAGCGCCTTATTTCTATGTTCTCTAATATATCGACCATGCAAACATATGAGCGAATTGCCAGTCTCAACGTTGGATATTACGCGTTTATCTGTATTCCTATCCATCTTCGCTGTTAAGCTTCAAATAACGTAATTTTGCATTTTGGTCTTTATCCACCAGACTGATAACAGGAGGGCAGTCTGTGCTTAGAGTAGGACTACAGCACTGCTTACTCAGAATGTGTTTTTGTCTTGAGCCTTAAGCATAGATTTATAGACATATACTAACGCACCCATAAATATACTATCTTCCTAAACCGCTTTCCCTTTCGTTTCGTTTTCAGACGCCAACTTTTGGCGGCATGCAGTTAGCTACCAGGAAGACGTAAGTCAGGTTGAAGGAAGAGGAACTTTTGTGGAACCGATGCTTCGGAAACACTCAAATTGTAAGGTTCAACGTGCTGCCTTTCTGGGCCTTCTTCCTCAAAACTCCGAGGCTGCTGTTCTGCGATGTGGACTTTCATTGCACCTCCTTCGATCCATTGCACCAAATGTAAGTTTGGTGTTTTGTCAAGTAATGCTAGTACATGCCTGGTAGTGTGCAAAATTCTGACGAATTATTTTCGAATTTCGGCGTAGGATCGCTTTTTAACACCACAACGTAGCTTTTAGTGCGTACACAAAAAGTGAACGGCTGAGATGTGGTTAAAAACACTTTGTTATTGAATTTGGTAGTCAACATATGGACACGTTGAACATGGGCATTGATGTAGCGTAGCGGTTTGCTTTCACGACCTTACGACCCTGCTAGTGAACAGCCCGTAGCAACCTGACAACGGATACGACCAACAAAACAGCCAAGTGTACTCTCGCGTGAGTGTGATAATCGATTGGCAATACCAACCAATGAAAGGTACGAGGGAGCCATTGACACCAAGTCAATCCGGGAATATGCTCAACTCACGTCACTAGGTGTTAGCAAGAAGACTTGCAGTTTACAATGAAACCCCTTTTTATTTTGCCTTTAGCACTTCCTATTTGACAAGGTGAACGCCTTCCCCCAGCTAGAATTTCCTTGCCTTGACCCCGCAGCTAATCGATATCGGCTTCAAAAGCACTTGAGTCTCATTGACAAAGAAGCAGAACGTGCGAAGCAAACCTGGTGAGTCCTTCCCCACATTACAGATTTTGCGTTTGTCGTGGTCTGGTTTTCCAGTTTTATCTGGCTCATTTACAGCCAATGAATCGTAGGCCATAATTTCCGCGTCATTTTGGATGGTTTGATAAAATATGGTTGTAGAGGAATGTATGACAAAGCGTATTTTTTACTGACTTCATAACATCACAAGTATAACCGACTTTCTTTAATTTGTGTGACTTGACATTAACATTAATGTTTATTGTCCTGGTTTTTGCCATAAGGAGAGTGGTTTGTGAAAGACCTATTTCCGTAGTCGTATCATTTCTTTAATTTTTTTAATACTATTTTCGAAGGTATCAAAAGGTCTTGGAAGAAGAGTCTTTAAAGTCTGCCACAATCAGAAAAGCGCACAAATACAATGAAATTCAAAGCTGTAAAGTCGAACGTGAGTGTAATTTTTGTCGCTAATAGGTACGTGTTCCTTAGCTTGGAATGTTATTGAGCCGAGCATGGATTATGTCATGATGCTACAAACATTCCTTTGAACCGACATGAGCCCATTTTCAAATCAATGTGGGCGTTATGCGCATCCGCATTGTCTGCTTTCAAATGTGCGTGTGTGTTCCGGAAGCATTCCGTCTGAATGCCACACGATCCCTGTTTCAGTTGGTGTAATAATTTTTCCGGCCATTCTGGCGACAGGAATGAATAGTAGGGGTCAAGGCTCTTGATGAATTTTACTATTGGACTTTTACATTAACTAATTGTTGTAAATGTCGTTTGTGGTTTAGACGGTACCCCCTGTCTTCTTTGACTACATTTTTTTCAAAAGCCAACGTCCTTTTTAAATGGGGAATAGACCGGGAAAAGTTTTTCTACGATTACTCTCTCATGCCCCTTTTTCCAGTAGCCCCAAAGACCCGTGTAGTTGGTGTACAAAGTGAAGTGGATGCACACGGAGAGGCTTCGACGTGTCTGGACGGAAACCAACACTGTGATTTCCTAACCGACGCCTTTTTAACGGAAAATGAAGTAGACGTTGCGAACTGTCGTCCAAAATCCAGTTTTCTTGCGTCTGACTGCTTGGAAGAAGTGAAGTAAGTACCAGTCTCTCAAAAATATGTGATTAGCATGATTTGTCCCTGTGGTAAGAGGTATTCTTTATCGCTTAAATCGTAACAAAACCTGGTAGTTTGATACCTGCAGTTAAGAATGATCTCCGAAATATCACAGTTCATTTTAAAACCTAAAAGCGTTACAATTGTACATGCAATTTAATGCTTGCCATCTGTATGGGTTTTAGCTACCTCAAACGTTTTATTTTAAACTCTGTTAGGACAAAGAAATGGAGAAATAACACTGAAAGAATAAGCGAGGTAGATGAAGGGATTCGGGTCGCGGGCGATGAGGTGCAACCTCAAACTCAACGCATCCCTCTCGCACCGGTCAATGCGAGGCTTCCTCGACAAAACCCGCAACCACCCTCCTCCACTAGATCGTCTACTGACAACGTGGATTTGGTTGAAAACGTTCCTGACCTGGGAGGCGCTACCAACTGCAGCAGTGAAGAAGAATTTTTGTTGAAGTCTAAAACTCAAACGTCTGATGACAGTCCTTCTACAGTCTCTGACCGGTTGGGACTGCTCGAACGACGGATTAAAGAGAAGATCATACGTTCCAGGCAGCACGGCGGTAAAATCCGAGTGACTGCAAGAACAAAGACAAATTATCTTTCGGTGAGGAAGCTAAAATATGCTATCTTTTCCTTTAGCTGTGCGAAGTTGAGCCAAGAGGTTTTGATTCACTTTTGCTTTAGACGAAATCGGAGCGTTCCCAGAATTGTGGTTTCATGGAATCCCGTGCTGAGGAAGCCAACTTCACTAAGGGCATCAGATCGCCTGCTGGAGAAACGGGTAACTCGTTCTGTTTCTTCATCCTGAGCTGTTCATTACTTGATTTAGACTTGATTATTAAGTCTGCGTATTGGTCTTCCAGCCTAAGTGGACACCACCCTGTGTGTAGTGACGATTAGGTCAGCCGTAAATGTTCCGGTGCCTACTAAACCGGTCGGATAGTTCATGGAAAAGACATCAGTGTGCTGTTACTGATATTTAAATGTTTACTGTATGCCACGTTTGCTTGTATAAACGGTGCCACGTTTTTTTTTAAAAATATCCTTTATATTACTACCTTCTAGTAATTTTAATATAATATCGTATTTTTTCACGACCAACTCCAAAGGCCTATTTCCTGATAGTATTGACTGTTTAATTAGCTTGGCAAGAACTACCTGAACAAGACCCTCTGCCCGAAGAGGAGATCATCGCGTTTAGTCAAGAATTATTTGGGCCGCCGAAAAGTAGGCCTGCCCCATGGTTCAACTCCGCGGATGATTCTTTTGGTAAGATTTCGTTTTTCTTTCCGAGTTAAAGTCCAGGCATCATTCATATTATCAGACCTGTTATCTAATCAGTGCGTCCGCTTTCGTCTTGGTTGTATTCCCTAGTAATCGGCAAGTCTTGTCTCCTACAAAAAACTTCAATAGTCAATCCGCCAATAATTGCAAATTATAATTTTGGTTGAGTTCTCATTATTGAAAAGACAAACGTCTTCCGATTGTCTGGAAGTTTCGGTTGAATGCGGCTGGGTAGTAATGTGATTTCCACACCCGCGCTTAAATCACTGCCCCACTCTCGTTTTGATCGATTTGCGTGTAGCGCCTCTGAAATACACTTCACTTTTATGGGACAATAGAGTAATTCCCTCGTCTTCAGTTTTCCTATATTGTATTTACTACATGTACTGTACATCACTGCCACTTTTCATATGCATCCTTCGTCTCTTATAACCAGTCCTCAAATTGCACAAATTACAGGCCTACACATACCTTCCTTCACCTACATATTTACTCAACTTAATAACAACATCTTGACTACGTTATAATATAAAAGTAGCTCTTTTCCAAGCTAATGCATTGGTAGCCTACTATGCGTTATCTTTTCACAAAATCAAGTCCAAGTTTTTTCATTCGTCTTCTCTTTTTTAAACTAATCCATAGTTCCTATTGGGTCAAACGCCGTGTCAAAGTATTTGCTGGCCACTGAAGGGTCCGCCAATAGAAAAGGCGCTCACCACAAGAGGGTCCCCACTATCCCATCCCTCAGTGACCTCGATCGAGCAATCAACGCACCACTTCAGGAGCGGTAAGTAGCACTCGTCCTCTTAAAAGTGATGCACTCTTGCTATTTACTATCAGGCTGGTTCAAATGTAGCGTTCGTTTTTATCACAATCGTTTTGGATGATGTGTATTAAAATTCTATCTCTTGTTATAGTTTCGGATTTCACATTAATTTTTTGGTACCGATTTCAACAGAGATCATGCCAACGAATAAGTATTCCCTTTATAATACCTTTTACACCAATCTAAGATCAACTTAATGCTCCATGCTAAAGTGATGCCGATCTACACTTTCATAATTCATTTTGTTACGGTACTCAGCATCCCTGATCAACTGGTGGGTTTCTTTTCCTTTTCAGAATAGCTATTGTGGACAAGTGTTTATTAAACCACCTGCTAATGGATTTGAAGCTTTTTGACCATCTCCGTTTCGTAAAGAGCCTTTTTTGTCACGAACATCCAGTTATCACGGATCGACTCCTCGGTGCCCTTTTTGCTGAAGTTTGTCTCGTTTTTCTTTATCCTTAAACATGTTTTGCCCCATCACACGCAGAACTTAAAACCACGTGTTTGAAACGTCTTGTAGAGGTGCCAATGGGTATAAGTCACGAAGAATTCGCTAATGCGTTATCCCTGCGTTGTAGTCTAGCGCTCACTCATCGCATAACGTCAAACAGATTGAGAAACTGATTCCTTTAAAAATTTACAATATGCACGGCACGGACCAAAGTTTTACCAAGTTATTTTTTTCCTACAACATCAAGAATTTTTAAAATTTTCAGTTTTCGAATTCTGGGAAAGGTCGAAGTATTTTCGAAGACAAAAAGAGATTTCAGGACTTAATCCCTGCCACTCTCCTTAATGTCAACTTAGAAAGTGCTGGGGCAGAGTCGACCAATGCATTCGAAAGTGCCTACGGACGGGTTCTGTTTTATTTAAAACGCTTGGAATCCGTCCAGACAGTTAGTAGTACTACTACCGGTTATGGTAAGTATGTGCAGTTACGTGTTCTTTTTTTGCTTTTTTACACACAATGCATTTCATTTTGTTTTAGTCGACAGTATCTTCAACACATTTGTGCTGGTGTACAAGGCACCCTGGCCGCTGAACATATGTTTGCACGATCGAGTGTTAGCTAAATACAACACTGTCTTCTGTTTACTCGCTCGCGTTAAATATGCGCTGTGGACTCTCGAATCCGTCTTCAACTACCTCCGAGATCATCGTATGTTGATTGTTTTGAAGCGTGTCCCTCAAAATTATTTCGAGATTTTCCGGTTGCATTTGGCGTCATTGCCAATGACGAAGCCGATCACTAGAGTTACACGAGTCGTCTTGTTTGAATACCTGTAGTTGCATTAGCTTACCGAACTGCGTACTTTTTTAATTCATTCTTGCATTATTCCGGCACAAATAGGTAAATGTTTCATAAATATTTCAACTAAATGTAATTCATTTTGATTTGGGTTGACGCATTTTTGGTTTTGCGGAGTCAAGTAACATGTCGCGTACATCACATTCATAAGGTCGCGATTTGTCGCCTTCTACCGGTGTCTATTTCAAAGCCTCTCTTTGGCGACATGAAATGGATCAAGTCATCCGCGCACTCGATGCATATTTCTCCATATATGCTGTCCAAGTAAACTGGAATATCTTCATGAAACGCCTTGATGCATTTGAACCCTACCCGATCAATCCATCGCAGTATTTAAATAAGCTAACATCAGTGAAGAATCTCGATGAATTATGCGAAGCCCATGAAGACTCGGTGAATGGAATTATCAAATGGTACGTTACTTGAAATCTGTCAACTTTTGAAATTCAAACAACTTCAGGTCCTAAAGCAAAACGCAAGTCGTTCTAAAATTATAAAAATTTGATTCGCCAAACATTTCTTGTTTTAATCTGTATTTTTACTCATAACTGCTTAGCCTGTAGAACATGTACCCATGAAGCGAAGCTGTGCATACTCCCTTGATAGTTCCCTGGGGAACACAACATCAACATCAGTAAGGACATAGCGGCAAAATCGTGAGTCCTGAATCTTGGAACGTGCACGAATCGGATATTTCAATAGCTGTAGAGAATAAAAGTATTCGACAACTTAGGAAGTGTTAACTGGTGATTTGCTAGACTGATTTTTCCTTTTATGTACTACGATGTTAAACCGTACATTTCCGTTTTGAGATTTGACGATTTCGGTGACACGTGAGGTAATTTAGCTTAAAACACCCGATGAATTTGGTTCAAAAAGTCACCTAAGGTAATCATAGCACGATTATCGTAATGGAGGGTAAAGTTGTTTCAAAAGAAAGCGCAAACTACGTCAAAATCTAAAACATTGATTTTCAACCGAACTTTCACCGCCTTGAAATCTTAATTGCACTTTGCCATAGTAGCACTAAATAGTTCGCCTTCGATGACGGATCCTCTTAATCGATTCAACCATTAGACTAAGTGGTTCGCTTTCTCCCTTTCAGCTGCCTCGTGCATAATGACGAGGACGACTCGTGCACCCGCAGATCAGTGGTTGGACTGTTGGAGTGTGTTCACAGGTTTCAGAGGGCGCTATTTATCCTCAGCCAGGACAATGTTGTCTCCGCCGACGACCAGATGTCAGCAGCGATTAACCGATTTCGCCTGCACGCTCAATCATTGCACTACGAATTGAGGGCCCGAATAACCAGTAATCAAAAGGGGACGAAGGAACTCTCCCACCTTACTTACATACTTGGCTGTTGTCAATTTTATGTCACTGATTAGTCACCTAACCTACCTCCTTATCCTACTTTGTATACAGATTTTTTCGTAAAAAAAAAGAATGGATCGCACAAAACCCCCGATTCTATTTCTCATTTTTAAATCCCTTTTTAAATGCTTCTTCACATTGTACTTTTTTCTCAAGCGCCATGTCAGGCTGCAAGCTTACTTAGTCTACATTTTTGCGGTCTGAGGAATGCAGAGCAGCATCTTGATAAAGAACCCTGGATTGCTATTATTCAGCTTGGGCTTAGTAAATATCGGAACTCCATTCCGGAAAAAAAACTATGTCCAGTTTCCAAGAAGTAAGCCTGGAAGGAAAATTGGTTCCGCATTACGATGTCAGCTTGCCTTCCTTATTATTCGTATTTGTCTTGCGAGGAACGCCCAACCAACTCCAGCCTTCTCTGGCAATCTAGTTTAACCCGGTGTGCGCAGTTTTCACACGGGGACGAAATTCACTTAAACTAAGTAAAGCAGCCGGTTTGGTGTTTTTAGGTTTTAATTGCTCTATGCACTTTAAATCAGATATTAAAAGAATTACGAAGGTCTGGTGCAAAAGAGCTTGATTTGCACGAACCGTGAAGGCTAATAGCGTACTTGCGGTTGTGTCGAGCTCGGCCTCATTCTCTACCCCTAGCTTCCTTCATCCCATCTTATCTTCAACCATTGGTATTTGTGCCCTTGATAACCGGGAGTGATGAAAGAATGTTGCCCTGTTTCTAGTTTTGGCCTCAAGATCACTTCAACATGGAGTTGTGACTTGGTTACTTTTCACTTTGGACGATAACATTCATAATTATACATCAAAGCAATCAAAACTCCTCGGATGACTTTGTTACATTCACAGCATAGGGGTAGTGACACTCAGCAGCGCCAAGGCATCTCAAGAAACGGAATTTCCACTGCTTTGCCTTTCCTGCCTGTCTAATGGGACTGCATGAGCAGATCCACTTAAAGGTGAGCTCTCCCACAAGGTAAAACCTAACGGTGATCTAAACGGGTCTCAAAAAGCAAATTAAGCACTAGATTCCGCTTCACCGACCGGGGTGCAGCTAAGCACGTGACGAAATACACACGTTGATTGTTGTGATGACCCGATCTTTGACAAGACACACGGTTGGTTTCGTGTCATCGTTAGACAAGTATTTTATAACACTATACAGTAGCAATATCTAATGTGTTCGAGGTGAATTACGGAAACAGAAAACACAATGTAATTTCAACCTTGTCGTAAAACACGTTAACCTTCCATGAAATGTTTTAAACTTCAGAAATGTTAACATCGAAAACCGAGCACATCCCGAGGTATGTATGGATTATGGGAGAGTGTACATGCAGCAGTCCACGGGTAACAATCACAGAAGAATCGCGTGTCAGTTAAGAATTTCCCGTCTACATTTTGCAGCCAGTCAACGTACCAATCACCTTCCGTGTGGCTAAAAAAGAGAGCCAGGTGCTCTAAATTCCTACATAAACGAAAATGACGGCTAAAGGAAATGCTCTACTGATATCTCATGGAAGCATCTAGTTAAGAAAGTAAACTGTCAGTAATCTGGTTCGTGTCGTGCAATGGTTATCATTTTCACTTTTAATGGTCAAATGATGGACTCGTCATTAATTTGGTAAACTGAGGTGGTGTGTCTAGTAATTGAATCGGTGAGTTGTTCCATGTCTTGAAATAATTTCTACCGAATCTACTATGCGTATGTGCTTAGCTGTTGAAGCTAAAACATCATGTATTCGTGACACACAACGGAGTAGAGCATAACGTCATATGCATGATAGAAAAACGTGTGCCTCACGGGTGGAGAAATCGAAATTAGGAAACGAGTTATGAAGGTTTACGCTCTGAGTGTCTTGACCCAATAAAGCGACCAGAGCATCTTAGGCACCGTTTCATGAAGAACCTTTCGTGTCTATCTGGTTGGTATGATTATGGAAACAAGGAGAAAAATAATTCGCGCAAAGGGATAAAACTCACATTTCTGGTTTCGATGTTCGATAAACCATATGCCTTGCCAAGTGCCTAGATTCATTTTGCCATCGGTGATTGGAATTGTAACATTGGATCCACTTAGGATAGCATGTTTTCCGTGACCAGGCTTTGTAAAATGGTGGACGAATTACATCTAGAACCTACCATGTCATCTGGACCTTCACATGAATGTTTATAATTTAATTTCTATGAAAGCATACACTGAGTACGCGAGGGCTTACCTCCGGGATCAGCCGATTTAGGAGCATTTCGATGTCATCCCTAAATGCGGTGAAATCGATAGTGGTGTAATATGAAGCTTACTTGACATCACTGTCCCAACTCTAAATAAATGCTGCGGTTAAAAGTTCAGCTATTTGACCTACCTCATTCAGCGTTAGGCTGCAGGAAGTGTGCTGCACTAAAACATCAAAACACAGCATGAATGCAGCATTGAGGATTAATTCAGAATGAATCTGCACCAAGTTAAAAAAAGCCGGATGTGTTGACGAGTCGGAAGCGTAAATTACCTGCGAAGTCGAAGAACTGGTGCCAAGGGCTCTCGTTTTTACAATGCAGATATTTTCGATAGAATAATTAATAGCATACAAAATTAATTTTTTAATACATTTAAAAATTTGGAAAAAAAAATCCAAGAACCAAATAACTGCAAAGAAACAACTCTGCAAATTGAATGTCAGAATAAGAAGTGATTTAACCCACAAAAATAACGTTGCAACTTTTGAGTTATAAATTGTACTTACTAAAGAGATTTAGAGTGCCAATTTTGATTTGAGTGATTTCAGGCATGCCTTTGATGATGTCATCCGTAATGTAGTGACACCCACGTGGTTTGGGCGGTATAGTAATTGTTCGCTGAAACCATACAGTTCCGTCGCCGGTACTGGCCATATCAAGGCTAGCTGAAATTGCCACCAAGAGAATTTTGTTGCATTATATTATTTCCACGTATTTGCAAGTTAATGAACAGTGGCTTTAATCCCGCTCAAGTACACATGATCCTGCATCAAAACAAAGTTTTTTTGGTTAAAAACATAAAGCATAGATAGTCGACGGA